AAAATGGAGGGGTTAAGGGGATTTTAAAACTTTAAAATAATAATCATAAAACAAAAACTAAAAACAATATCGACTTGAAATTTTTAGGAAAAATCGAGCTTTGGAAGATTTTTAGCTTGACTTAAATTTGCCAAGAACGTGTGTAATTAGTTTTAAAATTATTAGTATGATGTAGATCACTAAAATTTCCTTTGGATTAGAATAGGCGTTAAAATTATAATACCTAAAATTCTGATTTTGAGGACGAATATATTTGAAAAGATACGAGTTGATGTTAAGAGTCATTTTAATCCGTATACTTAAGACACGCCCTATATATGAATATAATCAGTTTTTTCGAGTGATATCAAAGCAAGTCGCGAAATTATCGCGGCGATAATAAGTTCTTACTAAATATGGTACATCTAGGGTTACCATATTCACACCAAATTAAACTTTAGAAACTATTAACTCGAAGGACCATCTCAACTTTACGGTGTTAGGAAATTCTTCACATTTAACCCTTATACTATTTACAAAAATAAAAACTAAGCGCGACTCTTAACAACTGAAGCCTAAAACCCAACTACCCTTCGAGACATTTTAAGAAACATTCTCGATGAGCGAGATATCAATCGCATTCATAGTGCACTTGTCATTTTCAGAGAATATCAATTTTATTCTAACATTTTTCAAGAATTTGTAATACAATTGTCGTCCAATAGAAATTTGATATACAAACTTAAAGTACTAGTTCACAACTTTTTATATAAGTTGTGACATTAATTTACATACCGAATAATTTACAAATAATTTATTACTCGAGAGTAGTTCAAAGAATTCGAACAAGTATTTTTGGTTATAAGTCAAGGTAAATTTCTTTCTTCCATTACCCATTCAGATACCAATTTTCTTACCTACGTTCTAATAAATTCTTGGTCTTTCAGGGAATGCCTGCATGACTTTATTGCAAAAGGGCTGCCATCTGTGGTAAAGTTATCTACAGGAACATGTGATTTAATAAGACTGCATATCTTTAGTGACTGTTTAGAGCCACCAAATGATACTGCTAGGTACCCTTTCGTGATTTTTGATTGAGTCTTGGCCAAATATGGAATCAGCACACAAATTTTTAATTATTAACAATTTACCATCTTTGTGGATATTAGTATTTCTAGTGATACAACGCAAGAGCCTTCAACTTGTGAAATAAAGGATAATGAATCGTTGTATTCGACGGCAACGTTTGACAAGCTGTAGATTAATAAAGCTACAGCCGGAGATGCTGGCCGCGAGATTGGTGTGCATTATCGTTCTCGCGGCAGTTAAGTCACGTCTTGGATGTGTGACCACTGGACCGACTAGCGATTAACCATCGATGACGTGGAATGAATGATGATGAATAGGAAGGAGTAGGGCATCAAAATGGTGACACAATAGGCTAACTGGGCTTCAGTGTTGTCATGCGAACCCCAAGAGGAGGGAAAGCAGGCTTGACCCAAGCATATTTGAGGGGAGAGCCAGTGGCTAGACCCAAGCCTGATTGGGGAGAGTCTACCGAAATCCCTCTGGGGGGAGCAGAGTGATACCTGAAAGGGTAAAAAAAAATTAAAAACAAAGCTATAGCTACTAAATTATTTACTTTTAATGGCTTTTCCAAATCAAAAATATGAAAATACAAATATTACTTGTGCAAAGTTGTCTGTAGCGTGGTTTTACACGTTTGGTTTTTGCTTTGACACACTTTAGAAAAGTGATCACGTTTATGGCACGTCACTCTTGTCTTGTCTAGTGTTTGCAATCTTCAAAAAAGAAATATTTATAGGAATATCAACTTTAGAATCAGCAGTAATAGTCGATTCTGTTAGATAAGAGTCATTGGAAGAAGATTGGTAATTTACAAAAGATATGTAGGGTGAAAAACTAGCTGATTGAACTTTCAAGGGTGAGAAGGTTATTGTAAACTGTAAATCGACAGTAGATTCTTGCGATATTCTTTCGCGAAAATTAGAAGATAGTCCTGCTATAAAAGCATCACGGATGTAATCTTTCTTATTCTCTTCTGCCTATACAGCCCTAAATTTGCAATCTCTTAAGAGTTACTATTTGTCGAGCATATGGTTTTATGTAAACATTATCTAAAACTTCAAAAGCATCTTCTAAAGATCTACATCATCATGGTTGGATTTCGGAGGTCCGGGTTTTCCTTACCTATTAGTTGAATGTTACTGTCAGTTATCTGTAAGTCGCTCCGGAGCGCCACGGCAAGTAAGAGTAATGGCCGTTCCTTCCCCGGATGAGCTCAGTCAGCTTTTGGGTTTAAAATTCACTCGTAAGGGGATGAATTATAGGAAGAGGATTATTATTAATCATTTTTATGATACGAGGAGCAACATGATTTACAAATACTAGTAATAGTATATTCTCTGCTGTTAATTCAGATTTTCTCTATTTAGATATTAAAAAAATTATTGCATGTTTGCTACCAATTTACGTAATCACATGGTGCCTGAGGAGAAGTATGGTATGTGTCAAATCGTACAGGTACCCTATTCTCGAACTCATGAGAGCTTACTTTTACTTTAGAAACTTTATTTACATGTTTAAAAATCATTGATATATACAACTTCTTTATAAAATAAAAAACACAATTCCCGGAGGTTTTGGGTTGGCTTTCACAGTTGCCTGCTGGGCCCTATGGTGATACTTTCACTCATTTTACAAGAAGTTGTTTGTAGTTATGTTTAAGGTAAACATAGCAGCCCTCACTCCTTGCCAGAGAGGTATTATTGAGGGGTTGTGGTATTTTTGAAGTCAGTAATTGTCATTGTTTAGAGATTTGTCGTGGATTAATTTGATCATTGTCCCCTGAAAAAGCTAGGAAAAACAGGGTTGTCAGCGGTGTACGTTGGTCTTTTGATAGTCTTGGTTATTGTGACAATTCACAGGATGATTGACCTATAAAACCACCCGAAAGAGCCAAAGTCGGGGAAGAAATCGCCTTACTTACTTACTTAAAATATTTATTCTTAAAAAATTTGCATATTTACACATTTTTTATTAATATATTTAAAAGATTGCTTCTTGGAATTCCAGGAAGCTTCGTCTGCTACACCTAAAAAAGAGTAGGCCATGGCCAATTTCATAGCCGAGAATATTAATTGCATTATTTTATTAATTTTGAGCTTTTAAGAGACATCCTTGCTTCTATAAGCATTATGAATCTGTTCTGGCTTGCTTGCTAAATCGGCAGTGGAGAATGTATATAGTTTTTATTTGATTTTACTTATGTCTGTGTCTTCTCTGAAAAACCAATTTCGAAAAAACAGGGTTGTCTTTGTAGCTGTGTGCATCACGTTATAGTTTGTCCTAGGTCAATCCAAATCACGAGATTGCACAGTTTCACCATCAATTTGCCCTGGAATCGCGGCTAGTCGATTTCAATCGCGGCTAGTTGATTTCACTGCAAATCGATGACGTCACCGTGCAGTCTTCCGTCCGACCACAGCTGATAACTAGTGGTCGTTGTGATTTGGTATTTTAGTGAAATGTTCGCTGCTGTGAGCTCGTTAGTAGCATCAGTCAGTCTACGTCAGTTTTGTATATTTGTAGGTTCTGATGCAAGCATCCGTGTTTTCTAGTTACACCGTCCCTGTCATTTTGTGATAATATGTCTTCCTTTAACGTGGAAGGAAGACAGTTTCTGTAGAATCTCTCAGCTGAATTGATTATGTCGCTCGGGCCAGCTTCCTGGTGGCTTCTTGTGCTGATTTTTGACTAGAAAAAACACAGATGTCCTCGGCGTACAACGCCGTCTGTACACCATTATCACCCATGGGTAAATCACAGGTCATAATCGTGTACAAATGCGGCGAAAATACTAAAGTTTCAAAAATAATTTATTTTTCTTGTAATCATGTAATCCTTTCTGATTTTGATCTTGTTTTTGTATATACATTTTTAAAGATTTATCATATGTAGATTTAAAACTTACACATTTCACGTATTTTCGTATGTAAAGTGCCAACTGGTAAAATTTTCTGAAACTTTGGTATGTTACTGTACTCAACCTAGTAAACAAAAGTGTAAATAGGCTCAACTTAATCCTATGACTAGTTTTCGAAATTAAAGTTTAAAATTGCCTAGTTTTTCGAAATTTTTATTTTCAAACTTTCGAGCTAGATTGAATTTCTGTTGTATAAACACATGTTTTAGTAATACATTAGTACATACGTACAATTAAAAATATTTTTAGTTACAGGGTGATTCACAAATGTATGACGGTAGTTTTTCCAAAATCTCACTAATTTTACTGTGACGTCAGGAAAGAATATTTTTAAAAAATACTAAACAATATGGTATTTTAGCAACAAAATATCATACATTTCCTATACAGGGTGTTCTAATGGAAACAGTTATATTACTCTGTATATTTTAAAATCTTATGGTTACATACCTATACCTAATTTAATGATATTAACTTACTCAAAAGTCACTAAAAAAATGCAAGATCGCCTTTTTAATAATTTCAAAATATTGGTGTTTGGCTGGATGGCCACCCTGTATAAAAAGAAATTAATGAAATCATTTCTCTGTGGCGCAACTGTAGTTATTCAGTGTTTGCAAAAATATATTATTATTGTGATTTATTTGTGAAGCACCCCGTAACAATTATTTTAAACCATTAGCGGCTTGTGTCTAAAATATTGGGGTTCACAAGTCGCAGATATTTCTCTAAGCTCCTTCATAACTGAATTTTATGTTGAATACATTGTAATGAGAAACCAGAATGGTTGGCTTTATTCAACATAAGATAATGCATACAAAATAGAATGAAAAACTAAACATTAATATGACAATAATTAAATATTTTATCATAGAAACCGATTTGAAAAAAATGCCGCTACTTCATTCTATTATACTATATTTTTGGAACAGAACAGTGTTCGATATCTTACGAAATTCCAAAATAAATCCTTAAAGAATTACCAACAATTAAAACTTTCGTAATTTATTTTCAGCATGTCTTGTCAGCTACGCCACTGAAACAGTTATGCAACTTTGTCATGGAAAGAGGAATTGCGATCTTTCAGCCGATATCAGCACGTTTGGAAGTCCCTGTAAACCCGAATCCCGGATGTATTTGAAAGTTGTTTACACATGCGGTAAGTTATGCAACTATTTATATAAACTTTTGTGGTTAGTTAAGGGTATTTTTGTCCAATCAGGTAGAAAATTGCTAGAACCCGGCAGAATATTGTCGAATTGAAATATATTTGTCCCAGTTTGGCTATAAAATATATGTGGTCACTGTGAACAGGCAGAGTCAGTGATAATTAAACGAGTATCTAGGGCAGTAACGATGCACATTATATACAGGACGTTTGTTCATTGTAATCAGGCTTGTTTATACATTTTTTAATATATAGTTAGACTCTAATCAATATTGCATATTTCTAAATCTTTAACTGCACAGAACAAAAAATAATGCAACAAAACATTGTTTGAATTATTGATGTAATTTTCAAAAATATAAATAGAAAGTTTTGTCAATATTTTTCTATGAGAAATAATAAACTACTCTAGCTAAATATTCAATTCGATCATCTGCAAAAATACTTTTCAAATGTTTATTGCAACATAAAACTTTTTCAGTTCCAAGAAAAGTTTTAAAAGAACAGTACGAAGGTACCCTGGCGCCGGATGAAGTTGATGAAGAACCATCATCAGACGACGAAGAGGATTTCGATACTTACGACGCTGGAAACGAATACATCCGTGAATCCGCAGCATCTCCCCCTGCCCCCAATATAGAAGGCGTTGCCAAAGATAATTTTACCAAAGATCTCGACGATTTCAGTTCAAAAAGTCCCGCTCACAAATCGAATGGTTTAGATTTTGGTAAGTAATTTTAATTTGTATTTTAGTTAGTATTTGTGCTTGGTACATTTAACTGATGATAAGGGATATGTGCTTGCTTGTTTTCTGTTAGATTTAAATTCAACTATACCTGGATAAATTGGAAAATATAAAAATTGTTTGTGACAACCATTCCATTAATCCTACTAATATTGAATTAGATTTTAGAAATAATAAGGAAGTGATTTTTCCATTTATAATAGGATATTTTTTTTAATTTAACTCAGTTTTTACTACATTAAAATTAAAATAACTGATTCTTCGTTGATTTTAATCTTTTACTAAACATTTTTTCAGTTTTTTCAATGTAGAAAATTAGAAACATTGATGAAAATTCATAAATTAACCACTTTTGAAAATCAATATCAAAGTCTAAAATTAAAAAAAATACTGTAGCTGTTATTTACTTTCTATTATGTAAGATTCAAATTACTTATCAAAAGAGAAAGAAAAACTGTATCTACTAAATTAATTTTGTCTTTCACATTATGTGAAATGAGCTTCTGGAATCAAATTACATATCATGATAAATTAGCAACAATATCTGTATCTGTAACGTGTGAAGGGTGGGTTTAAGTGCCGTGGATTAACCCACCCTCGTGCCAGCCCACAGATTTAATGTAGATTACAACGTCGCCAAGGCGTACTTCTCTTATATCGGCCGGTGTTAGCCAATTCTTCCCAAACACAAATATTCTAATAAATGAGAGCATCGGGCAATCGTAGAGGATAGGCTCGATGGTCTCATCTTCTTGTTTGCGCCCCCTGCAGAGTGCGGATTCTGATATGGCGATGCTTTCGTAGTTGGCAATGTCCAGTCAGAATGCCTTTGATCAGACGCAGATTCTGTCTAGTTATAGTCAAGTATCTCGCTGTAGTATTGTCAAGATAATTTAAAAGCTCCCTGGCAAGTCAGCAGCTTCTTGTTTCATCTCATCTTTCCTTGAATTTCAGAAGGAAATGTTTTATAATTAGGTTTGTCACTACCGATATTGTTAGTCCAGTAGAAGGGCCAGGTCCAAAAAGTATTTGGTTGGCTGCCTTCTTGGCAAGTGAATCAGCAAGACGGTTACCTTTCGATGTGGCGTGACCTTCGATCCATCTTAAATTGACCACATTCTTGATGGATACTTCGGACAAAGCTTCGTGACATTTTAGTAATAACCCCGAATAAATTCGTGGTCTGTCCAGGGTGAGTGGTGCTTGTCTGCTATCTGTATAGATGAAGATGTTTCTTCCAGTGATATTATTTCTGGTGATTTCTTTGGCTGCTATGAGCCCCCATTTTTTGTTTAAGTTCAAGGATCTGGAGTATATTCCACATCCTGAGCCTTGTTTTATTTAAAACCGTCGGTGTAGATATGAAGCGTACCTGTCACTTCCGGCTCTTGTATTTGTTTTGTTATAACTATATATGGCTTATGGAAGATATATCTCGATGAGATGGAGTCCATGTTCGCTTAAAGCAGTGGGAGCGTATCGAGCGCCTCCTGCCAAATTCAACATCTCGCCTCACCAGATCCTACATCAGGTTCTAATCCAACCATGCGGAGGCATGTCATTATCATCAGAACAACCTCCTTTATGTAAATATCAAGAGGAGTGAGACTAAGAATGACTTCCATGGCTCTAATTAGTATGGTTTTCATAGCACCTGTTATGTTGACACATGCTGTTCTTTGACTTTGTTCTAGTTTGTGGATAGCTATCAATTTTTGGGTTTTTGGTGCCCAGAAAACTACTGTACGTTAGCAGGTCCTATGATGGCAGTGTAAGTCCGTGCGACGACTCTGGGGGAGAAACTCCAGGTACGCCCCACGGTTCGACGACATTGTTCATAAGCAATTTATGCTCCTTTTCTATTTTCCAAGTGCGAATTCGATGTTAATTTTGCTGTCAAAGGTGAGACCTAGGTACTTCACCTCTGTTGCAAAGTTTAGCTTTGTGTTTAGGAGTTCTAGAGGTTTTAATTTCATTTTAATCATATTCTTTGTGAAATGGACCATTTCTTTCTTCTTGGGATTGATAGACAGTGAAAGGTCCTTGCACCTCTGTCTTATAATTTTGAAAAAACTACTTGCATTCTTTCGTTGAGTTTGTTCTCAAAAGTCCCTGTTTGCAAAATGACCAGGTCATCTGTATACGCTATTGTGTAATGACTGTCATTATTGAGGCATCTGATGAAGATGTTGAGGACCATGTTTCACAGCTGTAGAGGTGATAGCATCCCCTCCCTGTGGACATCCCCTGATCCACTGATCGCTTTGAGCGCATGTATTGTATCCACCCACTAAATATTTGTGGAACATTCATGTTGTTTAGTGAGTGTATTATCTTTGGGAAGATGTAATGACCACGTACCTTATGTACCTTTCGTATAGCATTTCCCATGTCTTCATTCAAAATGATGTCAGGCTAATTGATCGGTATGTTTTTGGGACAGTGTAATCCATCTTTCCAGATTTGAATATAAAGACTACCTTTACCTATCTTCTTTTTCCAGACCCCTTGAAGTAAGGCTGGAAAGATATCGTCAGGGCCTGGTGATTTAAATGGAGAGAGAGAAAGCTAGATATTGCACATCTAATTTTGTCATCGTCTACAATGTGTTTGGCAGTTTACCAATCGTAGACAGATAGGTTGTTTTCTACATCTGCCCAGTTGTCCACATCTGTGAGCAGCAATAACAATAAGTACTTTTAATTAAAATCTTCAAGTTAGGTTGGATTGGACAGTAGCGCGTCTCTTACTATTTTGCGACCCCAATGCCGTATCTCGTGGGTAAATTATAATTCAGCGTGTATTCCACATCTTGTAATGAATATAATTGTAGTTTGGTGAGATTTTAGAACAATTAATATTATGTACTTTCAGAATTCATATCTAATACACACCTGCGAGTATAAGTTGAAGCAGCTACCTATTAACCTATTAAGCTTTTCGACATGTACCGCACATATTCTTCGACATCCAAAAATTTAATATGAAACTTCCATCGAGCAAATACCAGCGAACGTTATAAGACAACTTTCATCTTACTTCAATTATTTCTCCCTTTGCACTCTCATTCCGCTTGATCGCTGTTGTCCAGTGGCGCCACTGTCAGCAAAAGGAAAGATTCATAGTATTTGAAAAATAATCATGTGTTTTTATAACTATTTAAGAATCTAATGGATCAAAATACCAAATCCAACTTTATATAAAAAAATTAAATTAGACAAATGTTTGGAGGAATTAGTCATGAAAATTGGAAATAGAGAAAAATGGCTAACTGGGAAGTAAAAGAAAGATATATGGCCAGAGAAAATCACGCGTGAACCGGGAAAAATTATTACCATAAAAGCTTGATTTGAGCCACGAAGTCAAACTGTTTAAAATAAAATATAAATATAGTAATAGAAATATGCACATCTCCGGCAACTTGTCTTTACCAGTTGGCAACGTTTAATCTTTTAATATCCTCTTCAACCTCCTTTCCACAGCTGTCTTTTGGTCGTCCTTTCCTCTTCTTCTCTCCTAGTTTACTATCCAGTATTTTTCTCTGAATCCTATTCCATGGAATTCTAAAAATATATATTCCTTGCGCTTTGATGATCCCCACTGTATTTGAGTATTTATATAGCTCTCTAATTTGGTTTTTCTTCTTCTTTCCCATAACCCATCATTTTTTTTTACCTTCAAATATTTTTCTAAGCACTTTGATCTCCCATATTCCTAGTATCTGTATAATATATACATATTTGTCTTAATATCCAAGTATTGCTAGTAAAAATTACTATTGGGCAGACCACTGTTTTATACACCCGTATTTGTAAGTTTCTCAATACATTCTTACTTTTGAACATGTTACTGCGAACAAAAATAATATTATCGTTCATATGTCTAGTAGTTTGTATCTCTTAGATTAGATTACATTTGAAAGGAGTTAGACATTATTTGTCCTTCAGATATATTGTGGGACGTTATTTGGAGTATGTCGTCCAGCTTGGTCTTTTTTTATTAAACTTACTAGCTTTAACAGTGGCTCTCGCATGAAGTTACATGCTTTTCTTTGCCTAGTGTTAGTCAATCTAGCCAGACCTTTACACTGGCATAGGATGTTTTCTGTTTTCATTCATACTACTTGCACAATGTTGCTTCTTCTCCTCGATTGATGACATTCAGGCGACAGTGTCCGGTAATAAAACCTACCGTTTTCCTAATGATTTGTCATTTTTGATTTAAGAGGTCTCAATCGTACATAGTTGTTTCACCATTCCTAAGACTCTTTTTGCATCAATTGTTTGGTGGATACCTTGCACAATGCTTTAGTAACTCCACAGAAGGCCTGTCATTGCCCTATATGAGTCTTCTCATTGCCCTCATATCCTTCATGGCCTCGTACCAAGGCTAAGGCACTTGTTGTTGATGACTTAGCTCTGTCAGGTCTTCTAGACACTCTTTCACTGGGCGTGATTTAATTTTTTATAAGAGAAATACCTTTAGAGGTGCTTGGCTATCAAAGTAGATGGCAGTAGTTTTGCCTGATACTTGCCAATTTAATATTTCTTTTGACTATTATTTTGGCCTGGAACATTGTTGTGAATTCTCTTAGAGTCAGCGAAATCTTTGTCGTCCAAAGATTCCAGCACCGGCTCATTCCTTGGTTTTTGATCCGTCTATGTACCAGACGAGTTCAGCCTGAATGGGAGGTCCCTGTTTTCATGATTATTGGAATTTGAAAATGTCTTTTAAATTTGTACCTGTTCCTAAGATCCTGGATTTTCAGTGACTGTAATCCCATATTTGAATGGGTATACTTTCTCAAAACTGTAACTTATACCTGCATCTGTGTTTACTATAAACTTGTTACCCTCGTGGTATTTCTTATGAAACCAATTCATGTACTTTAATCTTTCGTTGTTCATTTATGTTCAATTCTGCTTGTCTAGCTTTTGTACAGTTTCTCTTTTCGTTTGTTTTTCTTGTTAATGCGGCAATAT